ATTTAAAAGCTCTTAAAACAACCATGTCATTGATTCTCAAACATTTCTCAAGAATCAACAAGTTGGGTGCAATATTTCAGGCACATTCATGGAAATATAGAAGAATCTGCATATAGATATCATCTATTATTAAATCAATTATCTCAGATGATATACTTGGGGACATATGAAGACATTACCTTCACAAATCAAGAATCATTATAAGAAAAGAACAGGAAAAGTCATCTACATATAATTATGTCCATACAATCAAATCTTGTGTGGAAAAAGCATAAATTCATTAAAAAAAATGAATTCTTCATTGACAACTGAAATGTCATGTTTCCATGACAGCACTTTCCCAATTAGACTACAAAAACTAATAAAGAGTCATTTAATGTAACCATATAGCTCTTTCCAGTACTTCTCCAAATCCTGCATGTTACTATTTCACTTGTCTTGATATTTTTTTTAACACTAATCAGATTTTATTTCTCAGATGAAGTATTGTCAATTCATTTTTTGACTGGCATTTTTTTTTATCGTAATTCTTGATGATTTTATCACAACTTCCAGGTTATCATTTTTTAAAAATTTTACTAATTGTAAAATTACAAAATGAAAGCAACAGAAATAAAACTGAGTTTAAAAAAAGAAAAGAAAAAAAAGATGATTAACACTTTTGTTCTTTTATTTGGATGGAAAGAGAGAAATTGAGTGATTTTAATCGTAAAATTATTAAATAAAAAAGATATTTCTTAATTTCAAATTTCTTTGATAATGCATTGTTAATTCAGACAACTTGCCTGTTTTCTATTACTACTGCAAGATGAGGTGTAAAAACAAAAAGCAATATGGTGTAGGGTAAAGATCAAAAAAAAATTAGATGAAATTTGAATTATTCTCAAGTTCAGATTCCGTAACTAATTCTGTATGGAACTGTTTACATGAGCCAGGTTAAGAAAAAAGGTTCAAATTCTATCAGAGGCTAATTATTTTCTAATCCATTCTTCTTTTGTGACAAAAAGCAACACAAAAAAAAGAACCCTAATTCTTTCTTACAGATTTGCATTTCTCCCCAGTCTTTTGAACAGGACTAGAGGTGTATCCCTGGTTTCCTTCTAAAGTCTACTTCAACTCTAACATCTTCACCTAAACTCTGAAAATTTATTTACTATTTAAAAATATTTATTTTTTCTCAATAGAAGTAGATAGGTTCACCTATTTTCTGGTTCACTCCTCTCCAGTCTTTTGTGCAGGATTAGAGGTTTATCTCTGGTTTCCTGTTTAGGACTGGACTTTTGGTTTCTTCTAGTCTTTTCATTCTTTCACTTCCAGTACTTCCTTGTGTCTTAATAGCATTGCCACCTTTCTTGTGGTGAACTGATAAAAAGGCTCCTGTTTACACACTGGTCCAAGTCAATCTACACAAGAATTGAATAAAAACAAAAAACTAAGGGTTTTTTTTTTCACAATAACGAGACTATATAAGAGCAGTTATCATTATCAAGGAAGCTTAACTTAGTATGACACAAAGCCAAGGGGGATATGGGTAGAAAGATATTGTTGTCAAATGGGAAGTGTCTACCTATAGAGCCAAAAAAATATCAGCATTTGAAATGTTTTTTTTATAATTCTAAACATTTTCTACAAATAAAGTAGGTATTTTATAAGTGCAGTAACCTTAGTCTGGTACAAGGCTAAAATAATGAAGCACTGAGTAAAGATTGGACTAGCAATTTGGTTTGAAAGGTAAATTTGTTAAATCATTGTGCTCTGGTAAGCTAAAGTAAAAAAAAAAAAAAGAAAATTCTTATTACCATGTTTAATGGCTTATAAGACATTCCCATCTCCAGATGAGATGTTGCATCAATATTCAATACATGGACAAATGGTAAGCTTATGTGTAAGGTAGATTCTGGCAATAAAAATTGTCTAGTATGACATATTGCACCAACTCTCCTAGTAATTGATTCTATATAATTTTTCCACTTCCTGTCTGCAGAAAAATGTTAGCCTGAGAAGACACAATTGCGTCATTCACTCTCTGTAAGGTTAACAATCAACCATGATTATGGAAGCCCTCTCCCTGCCAAAAAGTGTGGCATGTGTAAACTTAGCTAATGCATGCCTCCAAACAAATACACTTCAAGCAGCTGATATAAAAATTGAATTGAATATAGTTAATTAGCAGTTAAGAGTTTAGAAATAAATTCCATCTTGTTTATTTGTTTTCTCCCATAATTAATTACCTTTTTTAGCAGAGAAAAATGTTTCAGTCATCCCAAAATAAGATAGTTGCAAATTTTTCCCTTTTCCCAAATATTCACCCTGGAAGAGAATGTTCAGTTCCATTGTTAATGAAGGATTTTTCTCTAAGTTATCTTTCAAATAAAAGTTAAAATGATTGACAAATAAAGACAAAGAGATGTTGTTTATATTTTATTGACAATAACAACTTTCAAACTTGTTGCAGGAAAGTTGCACCTTGAACATTTGGAAGAGACACTGAAGCAGATGATGATGATGATAAAGATGATAATGGCTATCAACAGCAGCAGCAAATGTTGGACAGAGAGAAGGTTAGGCAAATGAAAGGAGGGATTATATTTCAGAGAATAATCTGGACCATTGTTTAAGGCTAACAAAGAAAATTTAAATCGGAGAAATCAAAAGTCTGAATATATTTTTTGAGATCAAAATTTACATATTATCTATAAATGTTTTTGTTTAATTTATAGTTAAATGAAAGCTGTTTCTTGCTGAAGAGAGAAATATTTACTGTATATGTCTAACATTTATAAATTCTTTTATTGACAATGTCAGCAATGAATTTATACCCAACTGATACCAATAAATGATTTTGATAATGCAATATGTTGAAAAGAAAATATATCTGGATGCATAATTTGTTACATTCTTACATGATCAAAATTGCTCTTAGAAGTTGAGGTTAAAAAAAATAGTGTGTAAGGGCTTCTATTTCAGGTTTTTTTTTTGTTTTTTTTTTTAAAGAAATTAAATAGATTTGAACCATTAACCTTTCTCTGAAAATTTGGGCAAAATCATTTGCCATTTTGGAATTAGAAACAGCAAAACCAAAACTGGCCAATAATTGTTGAATTCAACAGATGAATACAAAACACACACACACTGGTGATTGATTCACATTCAAGACAGACAAAAACCTGAGCCTAGTCCTGTCAAAGTTAACTTGTTTTTCATAGAATATTTTAGTAATGTAAACTTGTCAAAAGCATAAAAGCAAAAATCCATTTCAGGCTTTGTCCAGGTTTAGCCATGACAAAAATCTTCTCTATGAAATTGTTGTTACCTGGATTTCTCTGGATGTTTGAAGACTTTCAATGCATTGGACAAGATCAGTCTAAAACTTTGACTGACATTGATGAAATGAGTGGGTGGGGGGTAGATTTGAAAGTGACTAACAAATAAAAACCCAAGTTACTTGTGTATTTCAGTGGATGCTGTAGAAGTACTGAATATAAACAAACTCAATCGAATAGACTGTGGCAGTTAGACTTGAAACAAGAATTATACAAAAGGTACATTGTAAAAATAACCAATCTTAACAGCATTTCAAATATTATCTATATGCAATGAGTGTGTGTGTGTGGTGTGTGTTGTGTCTCTCTCGAGTGATATTAAACTTAGCTTTATTATCTCGCAAAAGGGGTTGGTAAAGGAAGAAGATTGTACCAATGGTGAAAACAATCTGTCTACCTTGAAAATTGATATTCAAACCAAAGCCTCTACTCTGACTTGAAACCCAGTCCCTATTGTAACCACCTTGGCCATGTGTATATAGAATTATTTACTAAGAGGTAAATAAAATATCTGCTGATATAAAACCACTGTTGTGGGGCACCCAGTAAGAATCAAAATCACAAAACTAGTGAATTTGGTTAAAAAGATGAGCTTGTTAATCATCATACCAGGGTTGGTACCCAATATATCAAATATCGATGTGTACAAGTAAGGATTTTCATTTTTTTTTTAAAGATATTTTAGAGGAGTTATGCCTATTGTCGAAAGAAATATTGCTAAAAAGTAACACTAGCTTCACTAAACCATAAAGTAAATAAGGTTAAGTGAATTAATTCTGCTTTAATGAAGAAACCATCAAAGAATAATTACACAATATCCTGCTTGTGTGTGCATTTTTTGGGGCTATTCAGAAGCTTTCTCTTTCCTGAGATACTTACTGCTGATGCTAGCTCAAAGTAAATGTGTATGAGCACCATTTTTAATATAAAATGGTGTGTATGTATGTGTTACTTTTGATTTCCCTATCTTGGTTAGACTCTGCATTAATACATAAAACTAAGATATTATTTGCATAAAAGATTTTAAAATTATCATGATTTTTTTCCCCTACACCCAATGTCCCATGAACAAATGAATCATGTCAGAGCCTTGAAAAAAAAGTTATATCCAAACTGATTTTTTGTTTTTCTTACCCTAATATCATGAAGTGGGAAAGCAAAAAAAATTCTAAAGCAGTTTTTGGAGAATAACTGGCCTGTTAGGTAACAAGCCAAGTCAAAATTTGTTAGCTTATTAATCCAATCAGATCCCTGTTTTCTTGTCAGTCGTTATGCAGCCTTTTTCCAACTTAATTTTGCTTGAAGAGAATTTGCCAGAAGATGTACAGATTGGCAACCAGAGAAATGAACAAAAGGCTGCAGCAGATAATAAAAAAAAAAAAAAATAGCTCTTTACAAAAGAGAAAGGAAAAGACCAGACACGTTTTGCTCACTATTAAGTTGAGTATCACTGATTCTCCTAAAAGTCTGGGAGGGAGTCACAGTTTTGTGTTCTTTTAAATGCAAGTGGTAGCCAATGCAACCAGATTTAATATATAGGCACCAGTTTTAGCATTTCATGTTGACAAGTTGATTTGGCATAAATTCCATTGTCCATTTACAGGAATAAATGAAGTAATCCACTGAGCAAAGAACTTGTTCAAAAAAAAAAAAAAAATGAAAAGAAAAAAGAATTCTTCACGTCACCATGATGTAGTTGGAACGACAATGAGCTGAAATAAACAGAAGCACATTTTATCAACAATGCACATTTATTTTAATGCAATCAAAAAGATTCAAAAGCAGATATTTAATTTAGAAAGGATTTTTATTTAAAAAACAAAAAAACAATCATTACTCAAACGGTTAATTGCAAATGAGAACAATTTTCAAAAATTTATTCATTTTTTTTAACCCCCCCCCTCAAAATTTTATCATTTCTTGAAATATTTACACTTCTCACCTAATCTTTGTTTTGATCACAATATTTCAACCAAGAAGATTTTTTGTAGCATTTTGTAAAGTTCACAGGTGAAACTTTATTTCTTCAATGTCAGACTATTCACCTGACCTTTGCTCTTTTGATATTTCAGTTGGAACATCTACTTGCCAAAAGGAAGGGGATAGAAAAAAAAAAAAAAAAGAAATACGATAACTACAAAATTTTCCAAGCCCACTTTTTTCATTATGTGCTCAAGAAATTTCAACTCTTCTCTGTATAAGTGAACTTTTGGTTCCCATTTTATCTAAAACTTTGTCGTTGCTCACATATTTAGTCTATAGTATTCTCAGCATCTTTCTGTAGAACCCCCATTTCTGTTGCTTCATCTCTTCTCTATCTTTGCAGAGATTGTTCAGCATTCACTGCCATATAGGAGAACTGCTATTACATAACAGTTCAGTTTCTGTTTTGAATGAAATTTTCCTTTTTCTTAATACTTTGCTTAGCTTTTGAATGACCTCCTTTGTTATCTCAATGCACTTTCAGATTTCAGTGTTGCACTTTGCGTCCTCTCTTAAAACACTTTCTAGATATTTAAATTTTGTTTCACTTGTTTGATTTTGGTATCTCCAATTTGTACTTTGCATATTGGGATGTCCCTTCTGCTGACAACGATGCATTCTATCTTCTTGTAATTGATGTTCAGTCCTTTCTTCTCACTTTCCTTCACTAGTTCTTATAATTGCCTTTCCATATCTGTTATCAACATGGTGCCATCTGCTTATCTTCTGTTGCTTTGTCTCCTCTTTATCTTTGAGGAGATTGTTAAGTTTGTGGCTGCCAGTAATCAATCCTGGTAGGACTTCTAGTTCTCTCAGAATCACCTCACTGGTTAGGTTGAATAAGTCTGGTGAGAAGACACATCCTTGTCTTACACACCTTTCTATATTTGTATATTTATTGAATTCACTTTCTATCCATATGCAGGTGGTTTGCTGTCATTATAGGTTCTGGATTATTCAAATATCTTTCCCAAATATATAAAGATTAGCTAGCAGTTGTGACGTACTTTATCAAATGCTTTTGCATAATCTACAAAACACAGGTACACATCCTTTTGCAGTTGTATTGTGCTTTCTGATAACATTCTGAGCATAAATATTGCATTCCTTGTTCCAGTGTCTTTAATGAACGCACACTGTTCTTGTTGTATTTCTCGTCTAATTCTTCTGCTAGCTCTATTAACCAGAATTTAGATAAGTTTTTCCCAACCAAACAAGTGTCTTGAAAAGCATTTGTCATTATTCTTTGTTGATCATGGGACATGAGATCCCAGTGTATTTGCATACAGTTTACTTTGGATGTCATAACAGCTTGTGCAGTGATGTGTGGAATTGCATCATCACAATAACGAGAGTCAAAGAGAGAGAGAGAGAGAGAGAGAGAAAGTCAGAGAGAGAGAGAGAGAGAGAAAGTCAGAGAGAGAGAGAGAGAGAGAAAGTCAGAGAGAGAGAGAGAGAGAAAGTCAGAGAGAGAAAAACAAAAGTTAAGAAAAACAAAAGTTAAGAAAAACAAAAGTTAAGAAAAACAAAAGTTAAGAAAAACAAAATGAAGAAAAACAAAATGAAGAAAAACAAAATGAAGAAAAACAAAAGTTAAGAAAAACAAAAGTTAAGAAAAACAAAAGTTAAGAAAAACAAAATGAAGAAAAACAAAAGTTAAGAAAAACAAAATGAAGAAAAAAAAAAAAAAAAAAAAAGAAAGATTTACAAACTCAATCAAGCACTGTCACTTTTTGAAGAAAGAGAGAGAGAGAGAAAAAGAGAGAGAGAAAAAGAGAGAGAAAAAGAGAGAGAGAAAAAGAGAGAGAGAAAAAGAGAGAGAGAAAAAAGAGAGAGAGAAAGAGAGAAAGTCAAAAGAGAGAGAGAGAAAGTCAAAGAGAGAGAAAGTCAAAGAGAGAGAGAGAGAGAAAGTCAAAGAGAGAGAAAGTCAAAGAGAGAGAAAGTCAAAGAGAGAGAGAGAGAGAAAGTCAAAGAGAGAGAGAGAGAGAAAGTCAAAGAGAGAGAGAGAGAGAAAGTCAAAGAGAGAGAGAGAGAGAAAGTCAAAGAGAGAGAGAGAGAAAGTCAAAGAGAGAGAGAGAGAGAAAGTCAAAGAGAGAGAGAGAAAGTCAAAAGAGAGAGAGAGAAAGTCAAAGAGAGAGAGAGAGAGAAAGTCAAAGAGAGAGAGAGAGAGAAAGTCAAAGAGAGAGAGAGAAGTCAAAAAAGAGAAAAGAAAAAACAAAGAAAAACAAAAGTTAAGAAAAACAAAGAAAATGAAGAAAAAAAAAAAAAAAAAAAAAAAAAAAAAAAAGGAAATTAGATTTACAAACTCAATCAAGCACTGTCACTTTTTGACTCAGTCCAAGATTATTTCATTTTCATTATTTCAATTGTTCAGTATCCATCCAAAATCGGGCATGAATGCAGAGAATTTTCCATTACAAAAAGATCTTAAATCGTTACCAAAAACATTTTCAGAATGTTTTTTTTTTAACAAGACTTTTCTTTAACTGCATCATTCAATTTATCTGATTTTTACATGCTGTGCTTGAACAGTTTGTTCCGGTTCCAGCAATTTCGAACAAAAGAATTCTTTGATTTTCACCAGACAATTCTTATAATGTATACATCTACAAATAATAAAAAGCTGTGCTGACTTCAAAGACATCTAAGATTTGATTGCGAAACTTGATTCTGGGAATTTTTGCATCTAGCAAATCTTCACAAGTTTTTTCTCATTTTACTAACTGCAATGATTTTAGCAGTACAGTCAATTAAAAGAGTAAAATTCTGAATTTTACACACACAATATTGGAACAGAAGAATGGTATTTACTTTTATCAATTACTCTAAAACATGCAAGACACAAAATATCATGTTATACTTACTAATAAATTCTGTAACAGGATCAGATCCATCTTCGGTTCTGAGTAATCCAGTGATATCTTCATTTTCAATAAGAGGCAGCAACAATTGGATGAATTCGGCTGTATAAGGTGGTGTGATCATATCTAACACCTACAGTAAAGAAAGATAACATTGGCATTTGTGCAAGTAAAGAATATCATCAGAATTAAGACTATTTTTCTTTTCTTCCTTTGAAGAATAAGGTCTCTTCAAAATTAATTATCTCATCATTTTTCTGAGACACACCATCAAGAGATTAATAATAACTGAGTGAGTCATGTTGCTTAACTTTTTGATTGATACAATCAAGACTGTAGAAATATTGGCCATCTTGTATTTTGTTTTTATTATTGTTTTACTAGTTATTATTATTATTAATATTATTGTTAATGATTTTTATTGCAATGTTAGTGTGTTTTTTTTTTTTTTGCTTTTAACACACATTCTGATTATGAAGAGTGGAAGATAATGAATTAGTTAAGGAAAAATTGAATGTCATTGGAACTTGTTTATTTTTGATTCATGCAGTTTACTCTCAATGAATATAAAAATGAACCAATCACTGAATGAAAAGTATAAAAAATAAAATGAAAAGAAGAATTAGTTAAAAAAGGAATAAAAATACATTGTAAGAAATTTGGACAATTTTTTTTTCCCCATTATGCAATAATTGTGACAATATGCATGTGTTTACTGTTTTTAAAGAAGGAAAAAAATTGATTGTCATATCAAAAATATTTTCTTGGCTTTGATGAAACTTAATGCTCTACTGAATGAGTTTTGACATTGATTTTGAGTTGTTAATGAAAAATATTTTATTTGGGATGACATTAATCTGTGCAAAGAGTATCTGACTTGCTGAAGAACTTGATACCCCTAAAAGATTTAGGATAGTGTTAATACTCCTAAACAGAGTATATTCTGTGAAATGTATTAACACAAGGCATTAAAACATCAACTGATTGTAAGAAATAGAAGAGAAAGATTGCTGAATTATCCAAGGAAGAATACAGGCTTATGACACTTTTTTTTAATGCCATGTCCTTTCAGGAAGTATGCAATTAAGCTTCCCTACAAATTTCTTTATCGTTGGCAAATTGTCACGCCATTAGCAGTTTCAAATTCAATCCTCCTTTTAGACTACTGATTGCCACCCAAATCTACAGAGCCTAGTCTACCCTTCATTTTTTTTATCTATAGCAATACTTTTTTTTATATGCATCTAATGAAATTATGTTTTGTTATCAATATTAAGTTCAGTTTGTATGACAACTGTATAAGAAGACCAACTGTATAGAAGAGGTTTAACAGAAAAAAAAATTGTAGCAATCTTTGAATTTGGGAAGAAGAGGGGGGGTAGACAGCTCACTTTGAATTTCTGACTTTTAACTGACTGTAAAATCAATGCAACTGTTTTAGCCACTAAACAGACCTCACCCATTATATAATCTGCTTACTGATATCATTGTTGCAATTGCCTTGACTATTACATCTTGTACACATTTAATACATGATATAGCCCAGTTGATTTTATAAAGATATTGTTTATAATATGAGAAGATTAATATCCATTCTATCTTTTATAATCGTTATGAGTATAAGTCAGCCATTTTGTAACATGAATGCAAACTGGACTGTAGCTGGTAATTACAAAATATTTTTTTTTATATCAAGTGGAAATATTATCTAAGCTTTTCATTTGTCAGGCACAAAACAAAGAATCCTTTTAGTTGCATTTTCAAAGTTGAGTATTTATCAAACATAAAATTGAACATGATAGTTTTATTTGTCAATAATGACTGACCACTGACATTCTATTTTTTCCCTCATTTTCAATGTACAATCTACAAATTGAGTGTAGAAACTGGCTGAAGTAAGTTTTAGGAAATAAATTGCATGTGGTATTTAAACCATCAAATTTCAGTTTTAAGCATTCGTGTTAAAGCAGGTGATTTACATTCATTCATAGTTCTGTAAAGAACGTTTCTTGCACTAAAAGCAACATTCAGAAACAGTGGGTTTTTAACAATTTTTCTGTGAGAGGGGACAAAATATATATTTTCATGGCATGCCTCTTAATTTAATATGTTGCATGTATTTTCTAAGAAAATAGATAAGTATTAAATGGTCAACATTTTGAATTCATATTCAGTATTTCTGTTTATACACCAAATATATTAAGAACATTTTGACACTGGCTTAATTTCTGCATCCTGCTGTGTCAGTACAAATGTACTTAACAGAGTAACTGAAAGCTTTGACATAATTGTTTAATAAGTACTAACAGTGACATCATGTGCTACATAAACAATTAGTTTTCTATAAATAACCTTTCTTCTTTTCTGTTTGCTTACCTCGGTGACAAAATGTCTGATCAAAGAAATATCTGTATCCTGTTTCTCGAGACATTTACGAATGTAGCTGACCACTGGAATCACACAACCTCGGCTAAAAACATGCACCATTCGATCAAGTACTGTCTTTTTGAGCTCCAGCTAAAAGTTTACATTTAGAAGAGAAGAAGAAAAAAAAAATAATTTATATTTTGTAAAAAGTGGGGTTTGCAATTTGCTTTGAAACCACAAACTGACATTGGAAAAAAAAAAAAAATTGTCGCCATTCTGAGCAACACTGTAAATCTGGCCTGAACAACATACAACCTGCAGCAGTTTTTCAAAAACTTACAAAGACTTAATATTAATTTTAGTAGCCATCTATTTTTATTTTTTGCATTTTTCAGATATTTTTTTTTGCTTTGATAACAATATATTTAAACACTTTAAATAAAAGAAAGTTACAGATCACATGCAAAAAAACAAACGAAAAAAAAAAAAAAAATAATTTCTCAGCGGTATAATTCCATTCATTCAATATTTTATTGCGAAATTGTCAATTATATGATGGAACCTTGTGCATTTGATATAATTACTTTTGATTTTTATTGGTTACCAAGAGTGAAAACAAAAACAGTCCTTTTAACTTCAAGACCAGACAAGTATTTATTTATTGCCTGTTGAGATAAAAAGTTTGTCGTCTCTAAAGTTTCTATAAAGCAATGATTTTAATTTTCTACATGTTATAACTTCTAAATAGTTTCATAAACTGAAATAATATCAATATGACAAACTCATTTATTTTTATTGATTTGTTGTTATAATGCTGGTTATAAAAAATATTTTTTTTTTTATTATGGTTGTGTTGAAATATGTGCTAATTTGGTTTACAATAAATAATGAAATAGTGGTATTTAAAGAATATTTTTATCAAACAAAAGATAGCTATTCCAGCTTATTTAAATAATTTGAAATAAGTTTACTTCAAGCCATGTAAATATTGCTCAAATATATCATGAGTTAAAGATATAAAAGATGGGTGAGGGCAAGTTTGAGGGCGGTTCCATCTAAAAAAAAAAAAAAAAAAAAGGGGTTCCATAATTTCATTAGCCTAGGAGCCCCAATGTGCTATGAAATGGTATTCCTTCCAAAAGAATATGATTTGAAGAAGCACTTTGAAACTAAACATTATATTCTCGCTAAATTGAAAACAAATCTAAAGCAGCCAGTTTGCAAAAAAATAAATAAGAATAAAATTTGTTTTAATGAAAATAAATTTTTCTTCTTAAGTCCTTAAATACTGAAAGTGCAAAGGCTATTAAGAAAAAAACTTTAATTTCAAGAGAAATAAATGCTGCTGGGAAATGTTTTTAACAAAAGGAATATCGATAAAAAAGTAATAGGTATTTTTATACAAGTATTTTCTTTAATATTTGTTATAGTTTAAATAAAATTATAATCATTACCAGGCAATAGTTGATAAATAACCTGAAGAAAATACCACCACTGACTTCAGAAATGCTATCAACCTGCCAATTTGATTTTTGGAACCATCAATACATATTTTACCTGCTGTATTTAAAAATTAAAATTGTTTCTAGTCACTCAAAATTTTCTGATTTTATAAAATATTTAGCTTTAAGAATACTATTAATATATTTTTCAGATTTAATTCTTTATTTAAATGAATTTCAAATTTTATGTCATGACTCAAGATGGCCACCACAGCTTTTATCACATTCAAGACAACTTTCCATATCAAAGTTCAATATTTTTTTTTTATTCTTTTGCCTATTAAAAACCAAACTAAGAAAACACTTTAAATATCCTGGGAATGAATTAACAAATTTCTCAATCAAGAAATTCAAAGAGCATTTTAGAATTCATTTTGATGGAAGTTCAAGAATAGCATTATTTCACTGAGAAATAAATATTTAGGTCAATAATGAACAAAAAATGTTTAGCATATATGAAGAGTTAAGACTGATTTATGGAAAAACAAACTCAAATTGCACCAGTGATTAAAATAGTCATACTGTAAAAACAAGCAAGAAACTTGTATTTTTACCCTGACTAAAACATCCAGTTCTTCATATGATGCCTCAAACAATCGAATGAGAAGATCAAGGGCCTTCTGATGCAGAAGAGTATGGCTAGTGACAATCTACAAAGCAAGGAGAAAAAAAAAAAAAAAGAATCACATTAAATCATTCATTTTGATTGCCATTCTTACATGAAAAGATGACTAGAAAGTATTTTTATCAATAAAACACTCAATATTGTCAACATATTTGGCAGAATTAACCCATTCCATTAAAGTGCCTTAAGAAAGTACAATATGGCTGCATTTTCTAAAACAAGAAATTATTTCAGACATTTTTCATTCAGGTCTTGCTTTTCACATATTTTCTACTGGATTTATTTTCAGGGATCATTTGATAAAATCACTACTGACTTGAATTTTACTTTAAAAATTTATATGTGGGCTTATGAAATTTTTTTTCCTAACTCAATTTCCAAAATTTGACTAATTGGTCAAATATCAATGTTTTTTTTTAGGGGCTCTTGGTCAGGCTGAGAACTTTTCAGCACCCACTAACAGTAAACAATACATTTATATATGTATTTTTTTCACTGCTTATCAACCCTTTGTGGGTTATTTAAAGCCAAAACATAATTTAGATTTTAAGAATAATTTTTAATAATTTTTTTGGAGAATAACAATGATTTTTTTCCAGATACAAGTCCTAATATTCAGCCTATAGCTTAAGGAAGGAAAAAGATTAATACTTTTTCCAAGGATATTTATGCATAAGTGAATGTAACAAACTCAGCCAATCAAGCCACCCTCCATTACACCATCCGCACATATTACAAAATTTCAAAGTGACCTCCTATCATTGAAAATATATCATTTCTGATTGTAAAGAAAGTGACTGAAATACTTTCCTTCTGTTCTTGGTCTTTTAAAATATTTTAAATTTTCATTTCTCTTATGAGAGAGATGTGAATAAATGCATGCACACATACTGCTCGAGATATACAATCCTTTGGTTACAAATTCAACTTTTCTTATTATCTCTCCTTTTTTGCTGACAAACAAGATGGAACTTTGCTTAAAAAAAACATTAAAAAGTAATAATTCTGGCTTGTTTTTGTTTTTGAGAAGAGTCATTAACATGTCAAGATTTATTTAAATACTTGAACTCATTGTTTGTATTTGCTGATGTTGTAACTACATTTTGAGATAATCCCTTCAACAGCCTTTTCTTTCAAGTCAACAGAAAGAATAATTAGGAAACACAAATGACACCCATCAACCCAACAATTATCCATCCTTTGTTGTTTCTAAGATGGAAAAGAAAAGGAACATTAGGGTTCCAGGTTTAAGAAGTATGGCTGAATAGATCCAAAGGATTTGTAGACATTACATCATTAGAATAGTTTTCAATAGAACAACCATTTTTTGAAGCATCCTTAAGGGGAAACATCTGACAAAAGATTATAATGTCCCCACCCTCATACAATCCCATCCCATCCTGGACCTCAGCAAATGTAAAAAAGAGGAGAAAAGAAAACAACCATTCCTTTAAAGTTAGCATCTCAGAACATGAGCCATATACAAAGAAAAAAGGAAAAATCTGTCATGGCAGAAAAGAAAAAAGGAAAAATCTGTCATGGCAGAAAGAAAAATCTCACAGCAGAAAGAAAAATCTGTCATGGCAGAAAGGAAGATGCTCTTTACACAAGCAGATGAGATCCAGATAATTAACAGGAAGTGAGACAAGAATGGATTTCACAGATAGATGGGATTTATTTATTTATAAACAGAGAAACATGGAATCATCCATGTGGATTATGTTGCTGGAACATGGGTTGATTATTATATGAATGGCCATTTTCTGTTAGCTATCTTACTCTTTCCTTACAGATGATACACATAAAAACTGCTGTAGAATGCAACAACCAAACCACTGGTAACATCATAAGACAAAGAATAAACCCAATTCTCTCAACAAATCTTAGAGTGTGTTTTAGAACATTTTATAAGTTAAAAAATAATTTCTTTTTTGGGGAGAAAAATATCTATTATATTCAAAGACCCATTTCTGTGTCTGCTTGAGGCAAATTTGGTGATGTTTAATTCATTTAAAAACAACAATTATCAATGTTCTAGATTCTCTATTTTTATCCCATAAACATACAGGAAACGATCTAAAATTGTACTTCCCTGCTGTTTGCAGAGTCACAATTAATATATTAATTATAATCTTATATTTCATTAATAACATATTAACCTTTTTTGCAAGTCATCACAGGATTTTGATGTTATAAAATCTGATGCACTAAGCTAAGAGTTTAAAATGCCACTGTCTTCTCTGTGCTACTATACAGCACCAAGACATGGCCTCTCAGCAAGACCCTCACCTCTCTTATCCATAACTTTGAGTCCCACTCTGTCAGGACTATTGAGAGGATGCACAGGTCCAACTTGTGTCCAATGAGGAGCTCTGCTAAAGGACCAACCAGTCAAACATCCTCTGCACCATTACTCATTGTTGAGTTTGCTTGCTCGGCCATGTCCTGTGATGACCAACCTACCAAAGAAATCTACCAGGTCGACCTGTGATATGCAAACTGAGGCTGACCTCGCAGCATTCTACATAGCGGCTGAAAGGATATTGTTCACTAGCAGATTAATCTGGTACCAGATGTTCCAACACTCTGCCAACACCTTGAGTGCAGAATGGACAAGGTGGCTTTCATGGATTTAATACATTCATGGTATGAGATTTAGTAGCATTACAGTATTTATGAATATGAAATAACTGAAAGAGAGAAAAAAAAATGATTATCCCTTTTACAAAATATTAGTAGTTAAGATTTGCCTTACAAACCAGAAGTAAATTATTAAATAATTCAAACTAATTAAAAATTAAATTCAAACTTTTTAATTAATCACCTCCAGTCTTCTTAGAAAGAAACTTCCATAACTGTTCACCTGACAAGATTTGTGCAGTTAATTTCCTTTTATTAAAAGGCATTTTGTAAAATGAAGAGCTAATATCAATGTAAGCCTAAAATGATGTGAAAAGCAAGAGAAAAAAAAAAAGAAAGAATTACCTCATCAACAAGGACCAAGTGTAATGGCGTATGATCAGTGTTCAGTTTGAAATAGCTCTTGTCAGATACAATGTAATCAACCCAACGTAACACACCCATGGCTACCACAGAAAACCTGTAATATAGTAAATGAGAGAGAATAAAGCTTTGAATTTTATTTTTACATCACAAGAAAATATTTGTGTTTTATCTAGATTCTATTGTAAAAATAAATTCACTTGTTGCATTAAATGAATTTGATTCTGACAGTGCCAGATATAGTCAAGCTAGGTTTACATATCTATAAAAAAATTGTTTCTCACAAAAACTGAATTTTAATATGGGAAATATTAGTTATTAAATTGGTGAAATAAAAGTTTTTTTTTTATGATGGAATTCAATGTAGAAGGATATTTTTTTTTACTATATTTAGATTTAATTTAGCAATCTTAAGAAGCAGATTATATCTATCTTTCTGTATAGATTAAAAAAAAAAAATTAAATAAAATAGGTGTTTTTTATTCATATCATTCTTAGTAATTGTTGTAACCTAAGGAAGGTTACTGAAGAGAATAATCACACGAAGGTTGATAATGAACGATAATACTTAGGACAAGAACAACACATAAAAGATTCGCCAGTGGCATGTAAAAGTAGTCAACTACTAGAAGTGAATTCCATAATGAATCTCCAACTGCAGACCAACATGCAGTATTTACTACTGTATTTATGTGAATTGGGACATACCCATTATCGTCCATAGGTATACTACAACAATCTTGATAAACAATCTCTGAAGATTTATGTATAGCATCAAGAAATTCTGACACAAGCTATACCCTCCTAGATTGACTTGTACTACTTATTGAAAAATTCCAACTTGAAAGATTGACTGGTTTATTGTATTCTACTGATAGTGATGAAATGGCGATTTTTTTTATTTTATGATAGTAATTTATACAGTTCATATATCACTTGGTATTTTTACTCTTGGCCAGCAACATTTGGGCCACAAAAACAGAATAATTTTTCAAGATTTAGAAAAAATATGTAGCATCTTTGCTGTCAAAAAATTGCAATAATAGCTGATGAATTTAAATTTCAGCCATTCAAAGCTGAAGATACTAAATGGAGCATTTCTGACTGTTACGAGGATGCATTTCTATAATAAGGGATTCCACTGAGTTCTACTTGTTATTACAAAAAAGTTTTCATTCATGAAGTAGTTGTAAAATAGAGAAATTAGAAATAGAATGTTTGGAAGATTCTAGATCATTCTAGTATATTCGGAGAAACATCTAGAAATATGCAAATTAGGTGTTAGCCCCTATAAAAATGGAATTTTGGAAAAGGGTTGTCAGTTGACAAATGAGAATTTCTGCTGTTATCAACTCCGGCTTTTGATTCAAGGACTATTATATCCAGCCGAAAGAATCTCTATAAAAAGTTGCCGACCAACCAAAACCCAAAAGAGAATTTCATGGAACAAATTTGGTAAATAGCATTTTGACTAATTTTCATTGACCAAACTAAAAATTAATATTTATTTACACACCTTTGTGGATTTCCAAATATAGCACTTAGATTACTTCACTAGCCCTAAAGTGATAAAGATATTTGACTCCCTTTCCTTCTCCCTCGTAACTCTTGCCAGTAACTCTCCGTTTTTCTGTTTTGTAGGCCACAATTGTTTATCCTGTATATATTTTAGGTTCTGTTTTAGTAAATTAAATATTTGTTTGTGATTTAGCTCTGTGTTGTGGTAAATCATTTTTTTTTCTTTGTTACAATTATCAACCCATAACACTGACTAAAATGCTTGAGGAATGATATCATAATATAAAAGTACATAAATTTATTTACAAAATGTTAATCTTACCTATTTGTTATAATTTATGTGACAATTTATTTCCTAAACAATTAGCTAAGATTAACATTTCATAAATAATAGATATCAAAGTTCTAATATCCTATTTTGTGAATATGAAATGTCATAAAAATCAGTAAAAATTTATTTCTTTTTAAATCTAACAAGAATTCACGATGAACAAAAATGTCTACAGCACTGAGTCACCAAAAAGAAAAGTTACACCAACACTATACATTAGAACAATTACACTGACCTTATACATTGGAACAATGTGCTGATATCAGCAATCAATTCAGAAGAACCTTTGTTTTCACTGCACAATGCTTGTGTCTTCTCCAGGGCTTGAACTGTTGGCTTCAATTCATCTTTATTGACATTTTTGCGAATTCCCTAAAATCATTGAATATAAAAAAATTATTAAATCCTACAAACAGTTAAAAAGAACAAATGAAGAACAAATGAAAAACAAAACAAAAAACATTTATAGATTAACAAAAAACAATAACACTTATTAAAGGAAACACTTGTTTTTTTGTTTTTTTTAAAGTGGAGAGGGGAAAATTACTTAAAAATTATTTCTGCTTTTAATCTCTTAACATTAAAAACTTGTCATAATTTGGAATTTAATTCTGGAATATTTTGATTCAGTATTGGTACCAACAAATTATTCTGTACGTCTGCTTGATTGGTTCATTTTGTTTAGCAGCATATCAACACCTCTATGGGTTATTTAAATGCTGAAATCTAAATATTTTGAACACAGTATTATGGATTCAATTAAATATATTTTGAATGCAATCATGTCTTTAACTACAGATAATGTGTATTGCTGGTAATTTTTTTTATATAAAAGTATATTGTATTGCTGGTATTTTTACTATAAAATTGTATTTTTATACTTCCATAGGGTTTTGTTTTTATTTGGGGGTTCACTATTTGCCTATAGCTGGGACCCTAATAGGTCCTAACACCCTGGGTTAGAGTGGGCCTGGGAACAAAAGCAATTAAGAGGTGGTTCCACCCTTCTCAAAATCTTCAATCTCCCAATCAGAGGCCTTACTTCTGGACGGTCATGCCCAGGATTATGTCTTCTTGAAACAATTCAACTGACAAATTATAAAGCACTTTCCAAAATGCTGATAACATAGCATAATTTCATTAGTTTTAAAAATCAATTGGGGGGGGAGAGATGTGAAAAGAAACGGTATTACATAAGTAAAACAAAAGTCAATAGAAACATTAAAAGCTATAACTTTATAGTTTTTAATGTTTCTATAAGTTTTCTGGAAAAAAAAAAATGATGCATGCCTCAAAAATATTTTTCTTACTTTTTTATAGGTTTCATTAACACTGGCTGCATAAGCTAACAAGTATATGTATTTGGGTTTGTGTTCAGGGTTGATGCGGTTACCAGGTTTAAAGAGAGTCTCTATTAATAACTCTGAAAGAAAACAAGAAAATCAAAAAAGAAATCATCTCAGAAAAGAGGTGGGGTAGTAAGCAAATGAATAACAGCAAAGATTTTTTATCGTTAAAAGTTTTAATGAAAATACCTCATAATTATGTCATTATTATAGTAGTGGTAGTAGCAACAATTCTACCATTTTCATACTTTCCTTATTTTAGTTTTTATTCAGACACTCAGTTCATTTACATTCTATTCATCAATACATTTTTTTAATAAAAAAACTGAAAAGGATGTTAAAATCAATAATTAAAAAACTGAAATACACTGTAGAAAAATAGTTCTCTTCTTGGTTATAAAGAAAAAAATTGGTTAATTTGCAGTGTAACACCCACGCTCTGTTCACGTTAAAAATTTCTGCAATACTTACATTTATGTGTAATTGTACATGCTCCATTCAAATCTGGCTTAGTAAATATGATAAAATCTACCGTTTGGGAGTTATCAGCAGTAAAAGTTTAGATTCATTTGTGTCACGGACAGCCATTACTGACATTGTTTGCATACATTCCCTGCAGAATAGCTATCAATGTAGGTATCATTGCGCAAACTGAGTGTGTCTATGTAAATAGTTCTCATGTAGCAGTAATTGAGACAAATTTATACAAGAAAGATCAGTTCCACACTTAACTTTCCATAGCCTTCCGTATTTAGCTTTCCACAGTGAATGTATGCAAACAATGACAGTAATGGCTGCCAACAACAATGTGAATGAATCCGAACTTTTACTGTCAATAACTCCAAAACAGTGGATTTTATCAAATTTATCAAGCCAGATTTGAATGGAGTATGTACAATTACATATAAATGTAAGCATTCTGGAATTTTTTAATGTAAACTGAGTGTGGGTGTTACACTGCAAAAAGGCTTAAGACCCCCCCCCCCAGTTTTTCACTCCTATTCAAAATTTCTCTTACACATTTGGAAATAACCTAAGAATTAGAATTTGCTATAATACACTTAAAGGAAAAAAAAAAAAAAAGTGATGTCATACTTACCGAGGAAAGCAGGTACTCTGATAAGTTCTACAGGAGGAGGATTTCCTTCAGAATAACGTTTGAAGAGCTGAAGAAATTACAAAGGCAAAAAGCTATATCCAGACTCATCACAACACAACTTATTTAACTCAAGAGTTACATCTCACTTGTATTATTCTTAGCATTTAAATTCATATCATTGAGTTAATGTAAAATATACTGAGTTTTCTCATGACATACAAAATATTTGTAACAATTTTAGCATTGCTGAAAGTTTTTATTCCCGCCCACTGTTTAATAGATAATGAAAGTTACAAGAAAAAGAAGTGCAAATGAAAGAAAAACAAAGCAATAGTTAATAAAAATCTAACAATATTTCATCTAATAATACAAATTTAAGATACTACAAATACTACCAGTGTATGTCAACAAGAAAGAGGATTGCCAGATATTTCAGGTAAATGCAGAATAAGTCTACATGGTAAGATTTGATCATCTGCAAACATTATTGCAGCTCAAAGCCTCTGAGCAACTGTCATCTTGAGACAAATTTCCTAAAGAAAACAGGCTTCAAGAACAAATTGCAGCAAAAGTTTATTCTTTAGTTGCATTCTATATGAACAGCCATTGAGTGACAGTCTGAGTAGAAGTGGTAAAAGCAACAACAATTAAAATGAAAGAAATACTTGGCAAAATTAATAATTTATTGAATTTGTTTTGTGCATTATAGTTTTAAAAATTATGTTCTATCAACATGATTTAAGATTAATGTTCAGATGTTAAAAGACTGAGAAAAGGTTTTTATTATTTTATGGCATTTACAGCATCATTGTTGCCATTTTATTTTAAAAAGCCATCAATAAAGAACAAAATCAAAAATTAAGATTAACCATTTTTAAGGTGTGGATAATATTTAGTGATAGTGGCAGTAAGAAAGACATGAGTTTAAATTCAAGTTACATGCCCAACAATATTTTAAACCTGTGTAGATAACCTTTATTATTATTAATATGCATTATTATTTGATGCTTTTTTTTTTTAAATTAATGTTTGGAACATTTTGTTAGCCCCCCCCAAAGAAAATAATGAGCAGACTTTTAAAAAATAAAATAAATCTACATCATTTCTTCTTTAACAAACAAAGAAAAAACACCACCAGTGAATTTGCAAGCAGACATTTAGCATTTTTGGAATATCTAGTCTGAAAGTAGATAGTATCAGGTAGAGTTTGGTAATTTATATTTCGGTATCAGTTTCCGGTTTTGTTTTCCTCGATAGTGTGGTTTTCAATTTGGCTTTCAGTTTTTAATTTAGCATTTTTGCTTTCTAAGGAAGCCATTCATTTTCTTGTATAATGATAGCATTTCCAGTCAATATCTGATTTCATTTGAGATTGATAAATTTGCAACTTAGTCCTTGCAATTTCTCATGTATTTCTAGTCCAATCTTAAAAATATTCATATGGCTAGAAAGAAAAGAAAATCTTTCTATATATGTAATTTGTATGTGCTTTTATTCATTATTTTTTTTTTTTACAGCGAGTTAAAATGGTATTGTTTCGACCAGACAAAAAAGTGAGATTTTTTTCAAGTCTAAATTTTACACGTTACTTTGTTTTGCAAAATCAAAGTGACCAATCTTTATCAATATTCTTAAGATTGTACACTCAATTAGAAGATAACTTAAACTACAACCAGGAAGATGTTCATTTCTTCACTGACCCAAGGAAGCAAATTCCTTCAAAAATTATAAAGTAAAACAAAAAAAAAAAAAGGCAATTTTTTTCTGGTATGCCAGTCAACTGTTATTGGGGTTTTTGCAAATAAATTTCTTCCAAACAAGGAAAATCAAGGAGTTATTTTTCCCCTAAATAAATTTGTTTTTTATCTAGCAAATACACCTAAACTTAAATATCAACAATAGTTAAAAGCTTTTAATTTCATTTTTAGAATGTGTAGATTTCCAAATCTGCGAGTATCACTTGTTCTTTTTTAGATACACATTTTAAAACTGAAATTAAAAACTATCTTAATCATTTTAATATATAATCTTAAGTGTATTCGCTAGATAAAACCATAAAGATATTTGTAAAAATAGGCAGATCAATAACAAACATCCACCGAACACTAGTGGCTAAAAAAGAATAATTTCTACTTTTTTCTAAAAAAATGACTTGCAGTTTTGAAAATATACACATTTTAAAACTGAGATTAAAACTTACTTTATTTTTTTAATATCTAATTTTACGTGTATTCACTAGATAGAAACATAATTTTATTTGTAGAAAACAGAAACTCGCATATCTGGAAATATACACATCTTAAAATGTGAAATTTAGAACTATTTTAATTATTCTTAATATCTAATTTAGGTGCACACTCTAGATAAAAAACAAATTTATTTATAAAAAAACAAAAATCATCTGTTTTTCTTGTTTGCAACAATTTTATTTTGTGATTGGCATGACTGGCTTACTCAAAAACCCTTACAAAACATCTGACTTGATAAAATTTAATTTTATTAACATCTGAAAGTCTTTTTCAATAGTGTTTCTTTGGATATGGTCACTCAGTATTGATATAAAAATGAAAACGAAATTGTTCGGTTTCGTAAAAAATTTTGATGCGGTTTCACGGTGTGAAGATGAAACCAAAAATAGTCGTTTTTTTGGTTAAACTGCACATCTCTAGCATTAGGATTTCAGGACTGGTCTAATTTTGTCATAACTTTGAAATTAATTAAAACACACACATTCAATCATTTATTATTAGATGATAAGTTCCACATAGCAAAAAGAGGAAGAAGTAAAAGTAACTAAGACTGATTTGTTTTTTTACAGCTTATCAACCGTTTGTGGGTTATTTAAAACTGAAACACATTTTGGATTGTAAGAATGATTTTTTTCTCAAATGAAAATTGCTTTAACAATCTTTCGAGGCTAACAATTTTTCCAGACATAAGGAATTGTATTAGCTGATTATCTGAATTATTATTTTAGGGTAATTCCTCCATTTAATGCAATTTTGCTATGCTAATCTGCTGATGCATTTTTGAAGTGAAAAGTCTACTTTTTTTGTAAAAAAAAAACAAAACAAAACAAAAAAAACCCCTCCTAAATGTAATCAATTCCTTAACTGACTGTAATATTTCTTCTCAACAGCTGTTCCCAAAAATCAATAATAAAAAATTGAAATACACTGTAGAAAAACAATTGTCTCTAATGGGAGGTGAGGTGCTCTATCCCATAAAAGTTGATTATCACTTGAATTGGTGTCTATGGAAGTATTCAACTTTTGCTCAAAAAAGTCTAGCTGTAAATTTGCCAGTCCTAAATGCAAGCTATGTGATCTTTTATAGAAGTAATTTGAATTTGTTTTTTTCCTAATGTGATACGGCTAATCTTAATTCTCTTCTCATCTTTATTCTAATAAGGGATACTCCAACAATTACTAAGTTAAAACTTAATAGTTATAGTTAATACCATAGTCATTTATTTCTTTAAGTAATCTCTAGTAATGCAGGTAGTAGATGGAGAAGACCCCTAAAAGTAACTTCAGTCAAATTAATTTTACTTTTAAGTTAATATTAAACCCAAGCCAACTATATCACCATCCCTTTTTCCAGTGGGTCTTTTAGCCTTCAAAAAAAAAAAAAAAAAAAAAGAGAGAAAACAATTACTCACTCAAATGAGTTCAAATCCCACTCAAAGCAATTTGGCTTCCTAATACTTGATATTTAAATTGTCAGACTATTGTGAAAAGAAGAAATCCTTATGACCGAGGTAACAAATAAATATATTACACCTTTTTGGAAGAAAATAGAAAAACAAAGAACTAATTACAATGGTTATGTCAGCAGGATTGAGAGCTTGACGAGAAAGCATGCATGACAAGGCCTGGCAAGCCCTAGGGTAAGCAGCTGCACCACTGAGGGCCATTGTGATTGGGGTCACATCCAAGCCCCTGAAATGAAAGAGAAAAAAATATATAAATCAGTGGTAAAGAAAGAGAAAGAATTTCTTGAGGAAATTGATATTATTTGAACTCCGAGTTCAAAGTTTATAAACAATTTGGTATCACAAAAAAAAAAAAAAAAAAAAATCAAGATACTTAGATTCCTTTAAATAAAATGTCAATTCCAAAGGTAAATAACCTCATGTAATAGACAACAGTAAGTCCATATTCTGATATATCATTAAAAGATGAGTTTTCACCTGACATTATCACCGTGTAGTGTTCCACCCGTGTGATAAATATTCACTACAAAATAAATTGCATTAAAAAGGAAGATTATATATGCTTTTTTCATCTTTAATCTACAAATTACTTATTAGTCTCTGTAAATCAGCTGAACCATAATACTCTCCAAAAAGTTAAAAATGCTCAACACATAGAAGAGATTTTGACAAATTTCCTTATCAGCTTTTCAAATTGAAAGTTTATTAAAAAAGACAAAAAAGTGTACTTACTTGTCTGTGGCACACTTTTGCAACTCTTGGCAAAGTCTGCGCAGATTAGAACCACCTTTTATCTCTTGTGATAACAGCTGCATCAGCACCTGGCTGTACAGGTAAGTATGCTCTCCATGACACACCATTTTCTGATAAGAAGAAGTATTACAAGAACATCAAAGAAACATATGAATAGCAAGTTCTCAAGAATTATGGTTTATTTCATAAAGTGTTCAATCCTCAGACACTATTCAATTTTCACCTAATTTCCTCCTGTACAACACAAATCTGCTTGTAATTATTAGTATATAAGCTTCTTAAAATTCAGTTGCCTAGAACTCAATTAAAATGCAAGTTAGTAATATTTATGTAAGATTTGAGCAGGAAAGAATAAAGTGTAACTTTTTATTTGGCTTTGAGATCAAAAATTCATTTACACTTTAAAAACGTTTGATTAACTTTATTTTTTCCTTATAAATACAAAACACTTTTTAAAAAAAAAAAAAAAATGCATACGTTCAGGCAGGAACATGCACACATAATGGGGGAAAAAAAAAAATTGCCCCAATGAAAAGTGCATATATAAAAGAAAAATGAGAAAATAAACAGTCAATTGCTGATATCTCCTGATGAGTGGATGAAGTAATTGCTGGAGGGTCTGTCTACAAAACTCTAAAAAATTGAGGTACTGAAGGTAACATCAATCAGCTAAGTAACAAATTTTATATTAATTCTATAGATATATTTTTTTAAAAATTAGGAGATCAGCCAATCATGCTACCATAGTTTCAACCTTTAGGTATCTTCAAGTAATATAGGCCAAATCGGTATGTGTGCGTGTGCAGAGCATACATAAACCTAATTAGCGTGTTTATGTATCTCTGTGAATTTTCAGTTTAATTTGTTGTCTGTTTATGATCAGTACTGCTGAATGATATCATATTTCCTCAACACTACCCCAGTTACACTCCCCACCCCAACCCTCTAGGTGACAAGTTAAGGCTGCTATTTTCTTTGATTTTTGCTAAAGTTGGGCTAAATTTAATTTGCCCTTTTTTCAATTGATACATTCCACTAAAAAACCTTATACTGTACGGAATAAATTATTTAAAATTGACATTTGAAAACAATAAGGTGAAATAAAAATGTGTTCTCTGAAAAACAGAGCGTACAAGTCGTTAGAGATTTTCTAAAGATTATTTATAAAATTAAAGCAAGAAATACATTGCCTATTATGTCTCCAGGTTGATGTACACAGCCCGACTAGCCATGTTAATTTTTTTTTATGTTTTTTTTCTTTTTCTTTCTTCTTTATTATGAACAATATCAATGAAATATTTTTAGGCATAGAATTCAAAACAATTAACTTTGGATCCAGCTGAAGTCAAGAATGAAAACGATGCATTATGAAAAATTTTTTTGCTTTGAAATAGACATACTTGAATATTGACTCACTTGGGCTGAGCCTGACATGTGTGTGTGTGCCACATCTGAGCTATGCTTAGAAAATCACTATACAGAGAGAGAGAAAAAGATGGGTGGGGGGGTTTATTCGATCTTCCTTACTTCTGTCTCAGGTTTTAAGGAATTCTGCCTTTTCTATTTTCAGTATAGAAATAGAAGTGGATACCTGAAACCATACATTGTATCAGGTTACTTTTCCTATGCATACATAGCTATAATAAAGTTTTTAATTTATAAATTAGGCACATTAAGAGAGATTAAGAACAATAATAACTAATAATAAAATAGAACAACCAGAACAATATTGCTGTACTAAAAGTTAGGTGAGAGACAATGTGTTCTTGCATTGATGTTAACAACCAATTTTTCTTTTCTTATTAAATCAAGAATGTTCTCCTTTTTAACTTAAAAAGGTCTTAATTTACAACTTCTCTTTGGCATATTTGAATTACCAACATTACAACTGGTATTTTCAGGTCATTATTATGTTAAATTTATAAATTGTTTTCTGGAATTAATGGCTGGTAATTGAATCTGCAGAAAAGGTGGGGAAATTGAATAATGAGTGGTTAATATTGTATGCAAGTATTTAATCCCAATTAAAATGTAAATTATTTAGATATTTTTAAATCCCATTTATTTAAAATAAAGAGTAATTAGGGACCATATATAACATGCAAATAGATTCAAAATTAATTTGAAATTTACCATGAACTCGGGTAGATTTTTCTCCAAAGCATCTTCACCACCTTCTAAAAATGTTGTAATGGATGTTCGCAAAACACGTGAGAAGACCTCAATTTGATGGCAAGCAGTAGAGACTGTTGTAATTTCTCCCTGATAACCAGCATCAGAAATGAGCTGAAAGCAAATTTAAATTTTACAATCAAAATCCAGTTAATCTTTAAGGAATTATATCTATCCTACAATACACAATGATTTTATAATGTTTATCAGTCATGCAACCTGTAATGAGATATTATTTTAATGTTATGGTAACAGAAGGCATAACTTGACAACAATAAACAAATATTTCATTAGTAAATAGGGGAGATCAGGCTGCTAATACACTGCATTTTATTTCTTTTGGTTTGTGTTAATAGTCTTTGTATAAATTTTACTTTTAATGGTTTTAAGTAGCAAAATTATTTCTTACATGAAACAAAAGAATTGTATAAATAAAAAATTCTAAATTATTTATGCAGAAATTATAACCAGTGCAATTGCACGTTACTTAAATTTGGCCATCATTTTTCTTCAGTATGTGTAAACTAATTTTAACATTAAAGATAAAAGCAAATTCTAGTCCAGTAATTCTCAACAGTCGTGCTGCAGCACACTAGTGTGTTGTGAAATCCTGTCATGGCAAAAAAAAAAAAAAAAAAAAAAAGCCTCCAGGTACAGGTTTCACACTAAATAAGCTGCACAAATAGTTGAATAAAAACTATGTAAGTTCATATCTGTGTGTGAATTTTCTTTAGATTTATGGTTTTATTTCATTTATCCTTTAAAAATTTTACTAATTCTACCATATTTTCATTTGCTCCTAGGTGTGCTGTTAAATAAAAAGGTTGAGAAACACTGTTCTAGTCTATAAGAAAATGTTTCACGAAAATTCTTATTCTTCATAAAAATTTGAACTTGAGAAAATTTCATTGATAAAATATTAAAACTTAAATATTTGTAAAGTGACAAATATTTAAATAAATTCTAATAATGATTATTTTTTAAATATGTTGATTCAATGGAAAAAAAGTGTCAAATGAATTTAAATTGAAAGAAAATTGAAACAGAAAAAGAAATTTACCTTGATAGTGAAATTAAGCATAAGACAATCAGGATATTCTTCAGCAAGTTTGTAAAAAAGGTTCCTCCAAGTGGAGAATTCTATCATTTCAGCAAGCCAGGACGGAACCTAAGGAATAAAAAAAAAAAAAAAAGAAAATGAAAAAAAAAAGGTGATCAAATTGAAAACTTAATTGTTCAATTTTTATATTAAAACCAAATGTAAAATTTGTTTAACAAAAATTTCAAAAGACATTCAATGTTTTTTTTTTTTTTTTTTAATTGATTTTGTTCTGACACTATCTTTAATTGAATTTCAAACAGTACATTTCCAGATTCCAAAAAACACATTTTTTGTTGAAGTTCTAAGATTAAAAGTTCTCATTATTTCTTATAATTTTCTGAATTGTTATCAGCCTTCATCAGAGGTATTTCATTTTTTTTCCATAATTTTTCCTTTTCCTCTTTTTTTTTTTTTTACCCATTTCACATCAACCTACATTCTCTAGCAGTAGACATAAAATAGAGAGGAAGCAAAAAAAATAAAAACCACTAAATGACTTCTAAAGAAACCCTGATAAAACATCTACCTGGAGAAGGCTGAAAATGTCAGGTAAATTGACATGTTAAAAAGAACAAAGCTGAAGACAATATTAAAAAAAAAAAAAAAAGTCTATGGCATAATGACAAACAGACTGGGCATTAAATAAAATATATCTTTACTAATAAAGATGAAAATACTTTAAAAAAAAAAAAAAAAAAGGAGAGAGAGACCATTGAATATCATCATATAGATATTTGCTATTAAGGTGTTGGTTTGACTAGCAAAACAGATAATCAAATATTTCTGGTGATAGATGTTAATTCTATATCAGCAAATACTTACTTCTCCTTCAACAGAGAAAATGGAATCTGCTTTTTTAGGGTCAAAACATTTCAGAATTATTTCTTTCAAATGATTTTCAACTCTTTCTTGAACTTCTTTGTAATCAACACCTACAAAAGAGAAAGGAAAAAAAATACCTGCAGAATTTTTTCATTTGGTGTAACTATAATAACAGTATACAAAACTATTTAAAATCTTAACAACCTGGACTCAAGATTAAATCACAAAATTTAATATTAGAAAGTTATTAATTGCATATATTGATCTAAAAACATATTTTATTGGTCATAAATATTTCTGTTTAACTTCTTCAAGGCCAAGACCTCCCTAAATTGCCATGATAATGATCTGTGAATTTGTTTCTATTTTATATCTGAAAAGAACAAAGATTATTTGCTTACCAACGAGAATGAGCCATTCTGCCAAAAGGTTAACACACTGAGCCACTGCAATGTAATTACTGGACAGCAGTTCAACAACGTGTTCAGGGGAACCACCAGCTTGGAGAAAGCTATAAGAAGACAAAAACACAAGAATTTATTTTGAAGAAAAAAATAAAAAAAATAAAAAAAAAAATAAAAAAAAAGACAAAATAGTAGAAATATCAGGACTCAAAATTAATGTTGTCCTAAAGACATTTAAACATTTAAGACAGGCTGACAAGATTCAAAGTTCAAGGCATGACAGAGGTTCATTATTTCTGAGTCACATTGCTTACATGAAAGCAACTGAAAATTAAATGAAAGAAACAATCATTCAAAAATTAATACTAAAACTTAAAATAATAACAGATCTGATACCCTCAGCATTACAAAAGAATTTAAACTTGGTAAGGTTTTAGAGTAATTTAAGGCAAAGTTGAAAATTTCACATCAAGTTGGTAAGGCTTATAACAACACATTTACCAAAAAGGAAAGTTTCAGAATGAATATATATATATATATATATATATATATATATATATATATATATATATATGTGACAAGTAGTCAGTTTTCTAGTGGTGAATCACATTATATCTAAGTTTATTTTAAATTCTCTCAGATTTCAATTTGCATTTTTGCTAATTTCTTACAGAGCATCTATGATTAATCATATCTACTCAATGCTGGCATTAAATGATAAAATAAACATAAAAAATAAGATTTAAGAAGGAAACATTTTCTTTTTTTTTGTGAGAGGATGAAATTTGAACAGTAAAAACTAAAAGGTTATAAGCACTCCAAGTGTTTTACAATTTGGTTTGACTTTCTACAATGGAACAGACTGGCAAGAAAAATATATTGCCTAGCTTGTGACCAAAATGCATATAGAAACCATAAAGATTTTAAACTCCTTCCTCTTAAAGGTTAACATACTATTGCCATACCAAGTGGACAGAAGCAAAAGAAAAAAAAAAGAAAAAACATTGGAAGTAAAATAACCCAGCAGTAAACATCTGCAGGCAACATTTTCAAATAAAACCGAAAGAACACAAGTTCTAAATGTGCTTACCGTTTAAGTACTTGAAATATTACTGGTTCCATAATGCAGTCATCTGTGGTGAGAGTTTTGAGACAGTCTTCCTGCACATTCTTGTCTTCATCATCATCCTCATCACCCTGGCAATAAGAAAGGATACAAACTATAACGCATCCAATTTCCAATCTTTTAAATTGGATGAATAGATTTTGACGATAGCCATGGTATTGTATCATTCTATTCAACTAACATTCTCATTAAACAATAAAAAGCTGAAGATAGTAAAATCTATGGAATAATGAAAACACTTTCTCTTAGATCTTCAGATAACTAGAAGTAGTTCTCAAAATTATTCATCTACAAATTTGCATAGAGTTAATTTGAAATGAAAACAATGGTAGTTGAATCAGGTACAAAAGAATCTGCCTGACCAGAATAGCTTTAATGACCAAAATGATATAGGCATTCTCCACAATATAGAAAACTCTGAAATTGTGGCTTTTATATCATACCTATGTATTCTTCAATATTTTCTAACAGAAGTATAAACAAAATCTTTGAAAGGATATAGAAGAAATGCTATAAGACTTATCTCATTGCAAATAATAAATAAATACAGAACAAAAATAAATCTAATTTATAACAGAAGTTGAAATATAATCTTTTAGTTTTACAAGATGTAAAAGACATAACAAAAATAAAAAATCTATTAATGTAAGATTTTTTTTTTTTTTTTTACATATATAGTTTTGCAATGAGTGAAATAAAGGGTTCAGTTTCACAGGCCAACTACCTGAAGAAGGCTAGAACGTACAACAGCTGAAAAGTTGTAATAAATATGGCAACAAAGATGAGGACAATAGTACGAATAATGTAAATAGTGTACACTGTACATAATACCTCATCTCAGAAATAGACAGATACCGATAGTTTTGCAAATACAAAATAACTACAAAAATAAAATGACTTTAAAAAAGAAGTTAAGATGAATTTCTTTAAAGGAAATAGTAAATATACAGAAGAAATAACAATATAAATAAAAATTCTATTATGCAAGACTTTTTACATAAAGTGTTTAAATTCAACTGGAGTCGGACTTGGTTTAGTTTTGTTTTACTGACTCCAGTGACCTCTTAATTACCTCCAACTCCACAGCCCTGAGTATTACTGTCGATTGAAACTTATAAAATCTTTCTCGTCAAACAATTTTTCAGAATAGGTTTCTTGAGAAAGCAGTTGTTTTTTATTGCTCTCTCAAGTATTGATAGGAGGTTTCCTTCCTAACCTTTGGTCTGAAGTAGTGTAGAATATCAATATTTCGATGTTTATTTTTCCTAAATTCAACAATATTAAGAAGAGCTATTTATTATCAAACTAATTGAAAATGAATTTAATTCCCATATTAATATTTTAAAAATAAACTTGAAAATTAAGTCTGAAGTTGTTTTGACATTTTAAACGGAAATTAAAGATTAATTCATTTCCTTAAAAAAAACTTCTTAAAAATAAAATGTTGCACTGAATTATGATAAATCTTGGTGTTGTGAATATGGATTATCTAAGAGGAGATAATCCATATTCACAACACTTGGGTTCCTCTGAATTAGCGTCACAAATTACATTGTTAAATAAATTTATTTACACACTGGTGGATCGGTAAGGTTTTTAAAGTTTTTTCTTATCTTTCCAATTCGACATACTGACAAAATGTTAGCAAAATACTCGTTCCTCAATAAAATATTCATTTCTTGTGTTACAAAAATTCAATCAAGCGTAAAATTGAAGCAAATGAAACCTCTCTTTTAAGAAATTAATTTTTAATTTTATTACGTGTTAAAAAAAAAAAACAGAAACACAAAAAAACTGTTGCTGTCAGAAGTTTTTAAACCAGTATTAATGTGTATAAAATTTACGGGCATATCAAATGTCAAAAAAAAATTGTCCCCAAAAAATTGAAATATTTTTGAAAGTTGTCGTCTACCTACACGAATTACTAAATAAATACAAACGACGGTGAAAGTTTCCCCCCCCCCCCCCGACGGACACCACCCACCAATCAAGTATTTTAGCGGCAACTATAAAATCCACTTCTTGTTTGTTTTACAATCCAATGTGGGTTTCTTTCATTCTGGAGGCAAAGAGAGGGCAAAAAAATCGAATACACGTTTAATAAGCGTAGATTAAAAAGATAGCAAATATGAATATTTTTGAATTCCTATTATTTTGCTAGTCGTAGACATCAGTCCGTGTCTTTCTTATTTTTTATACTCATTTTCATGATTCAACCAAATGGTCGAATCATGAAATAATTGAGTATTTTCTGTCCTTGTATGAATGAAAGATTATGAAACCGAGATTAAGTCTGATAAAAACAAAATCTATTTTTAGTAGAAATAAATATTTATGTAATATTTATTTTAAAATAAATAGTTTCAAAATATTCAGAATTTATCATTCATTCTTAATCGAATTATTTTTTTTGACACAATTCCTTACAATACTCTTTGAGGTAATTGTAATTTGAGGCAAACATTTATTTTCTTTATTATCGAATGTTTCCACGGAAGATTGTACTAATCAAAACAATAAAAATAAAACTCGATGACAATCCATCATCAGATTAAAAAACATTTTCAATATATAATTGATGAGATTTCACTTCTTAGCTGAATGTACGATTTCTGTTTTTCTTTTATAATTATTACAAATTTAAGATACGTGGATTTTAAGAAAATATACATCGAAAATGTTTAATTTTCGAGTAAAACTAAAAAAAATCTCGAATAAACTTTTTTTCACCGCATTCTTTTTAGAAACAAAAATGACATGCTACACACGATTCATATCGACAGGATCTTTCTTTTTCCAATTGATAAAAAACTACAGAATTAACTTAAAATAACATTTGGTATAATGCATTATTCATAATATTTTTTTTAATAGACATAAATGTAAAAATGTTACGTACAATATCCATGTCCCATTCATTTTCAAACTGTTCCTCATCGGCCATATTGATGAAAGGTCACCAGTGAATCTAAAAAGTTCACATCCTGTTTACATTAAGGGGAGATAAATCGGTTTTTGAAAACTTACATCCGGTTTTCTTATTGTCTCTTCTGATGAATGCACATGTATGTTGTAATCGTTGCGATAAATTTTCTTACATAATTGATATTCGACTGTACATTCAGTTTCTTTGAATTATATCTCCTATGTAACTAGTATTTAACCGAATAATTTCTGTTTATGTGTACATCTTGAAAATTTCAATCATACGCATCCACTACAGCAGTATGTTTATTAGTGGTTATATACACGGGTTAATTTCTTGAAACGTTACAGCGGTTCGGGTTACACGTGTATGAAGAAACATCAGGGCCAGCGCGTACAACCTCCGTCTGCGGGGGAGATGGGGGGAACCTTTTTTTCTAAGTACAACAGTATACGTTACAAATTAAACTAATCACAACTGACTATTATTAATTTAAAAGAGAAGAACATTTTTCTCGGATTTTGATGTCATTCTGAGGTGTTTTTTTTTTTTTTTTTGTTCAAATTCGTGAATTTTTTGTTTTTTTTAAACTATTGTCTCAACTAAAAGAGTAAGACACAATTAAAATAAATGAACCTTGGCAACACAATGTTATAGCAGAATTTTGGAATCTTTTTTTTGGGGGGGTGACATTACAAATATACCGAAACGGACAAAACCCCACCACAAGCAAAGCTGCAATAAATAAAAAAAAATTTTCATTACATTTTTTTTTATATTTAAGTTTTCTATAATTATTAATAATTTTTTATGATAATTTAAATATTTTTATTTTATTTAATAATGACCAATGAGGATCATCTTGTGAATAAATACTGCATTTTTTATGAATAAAGAAAGCCTCGTACACTACAGTAATTTAATTTACTTTTTTTGAATTAGGATTCATCAAAGAAACGTTTTGGAATCTTAAATACGAAAAATAATTCATTAAAACTTTCTTTTTATAACAACCGACATCATTTCTTAAATAAATGTTCGTTAATCGGATAGCAATAAAACAAAACTCAGTTTCTATGGACTCTTGAGATCAACGTTTTCTCACCTAATGTGAGAAGTCCATACTTTGGCACCAGTCCTTTGATTTTTATTTTTCCCTAGAAGTGAGAAACAAAATGAGCTAATAGTGAAAGAAAGAATAAAGATAAAGGATGGGTTGAGAGATACAATGCCATAAAAAAAAAATTCTTCAGTATTAGAATTGCTACACTTTCATTTCAGTCTTAGAGAAGATTTCACTGACAAACTGAAGGAAAACTATCGTGTGTTTTAAAAAATTTGACATTGCTTACTTACAATAAAACTAAAAGTAAGTGTTTCTTTTTCTTTTTAGGATTCTAGTTAGCATTTATTTTTTCTACCTACAAATTAAATTTGAATAAAAGAACCTTTATATAAAATTTTTTAAAAAGTAGGTATTTTCAAAGATTCACTAAAAAGTAAAAGGAGCATACCATAATGAAAAAAATGTCCCAACCTTAAGAAAAAGTAAAAACATAGATTTATCATCAAAATCTTTATATTTAAGAAGAGGAAAGACCAAAGTATTTTTTGATTATTAAATTATATTTTTTTATCTTTTCTAGAACGTCTAAAATTTTGGTTAAAAATCCTGTTATTTTTCAGTGAGGGAACCAAAGATAAGAAATTTTAGTGTCTTTTTGCAATGAAAAATACCTTGATTTGGAAATTCTTGCAAAAATCAAATAATTATTGGATTTTAATGAAACTTTCAGGACTTATTCACAAATGAATATAAAATTATTTCAAAAATGCTTCTTTTTTAGAAAATCTTGGTAAAAATATTTTTTTACATCTGTTACCTCCCACTTATTTAATTTTATGGAAGTTTGAGAAAATAATTTTTGCTACTCTTAATGTTTCTATGAGTTAAAAGCAGAACTCCCTGGAGAATTTTTTTAAATCATCAATTTTAAAAAAAAAAATTTCTTTTCCCCTGAATCATAAAACAAAAATGAAATAAGAGGAAAGACCAAAGGATTTTTTTCATTATTAAATTATATTTTTTGATTCTTTTTAGAGAACATTCGAAATTTTGGTTAAAAATCTCTCATTTTTTTTATTTCATTAGCAGGAGAGAGCAGGGGTAAAGATTAGAGATTTTAATGATTGTTTGGTTAAATTTTAGGAGGTCATTTGATCTAAGAATTTTTCTGAACCACCTTGTATATATTTTATGTTTGTGTTTATATGAATCAGTTGTGGCTTGTTGCAAATGTTTCTAAACCACCAGTTCTTGATTTTAAGTCAGAATTTTTCACTGTCTGCTCTCAATGATAGAATACCAAATAGCAAAATCAAAAGCTGTTGATGGCTTAAACAAACATTCTTTCTGTTTTCTGCCTTGTTGGTTTTTTTTCTCATACAGTCTACTCACTATTTTAAAAGCTATGGTTAGTCGTGGGATTCAAACAATTCTGGGTTACAGAACAGAAATGGCAAAAGCTGTTTGGCAGGTTTTCTGAACATGAAAATAGCATGGCACACAAAACTTATTCACTATGGCATGAATTGAGGGGGAGGTTAGAAATTGGAATTCAGATTGCTGTGATGTCTTACAAAAGAATAATGATTCATACTGAGAAACAGCTAAATATACTTACAACGATAATTGATGTAATTTTTTTTGACAATAAAGGACTTGCTTACCAAATCCTATCTTGGTGACATACACCAAGGGGACTTCATTGGGATCAATGAACTGCTGACCTGTTATGATACAGCTCTAATAGAGCATGTTATAAATCTTTTATAAGGCAAATATGAACAACATGGAATTTGATATCTCAGGATAATTGCAAAATGAATTCATCTGTAATTGTGCAAATTATATTCAAAATAACATTTATGATGAAATAAGTACTGTAAAATGTTATTCACTCATGATTGATGCAACACTGAATTCTAGTTTTCTAGAACAGACAAAATTCATCATCTATTATTTGGCCAAGGGTTATATTGTATTTGTTGTTGAAGAATGATTCTTTTTCAATCTTTAACCATCATGCCTGCAAAAAAGAGTGTGTAGAGGCCTGTTAGTTGGTGTGATGTCTCAAATTTATATTTATGCAAAATACCACAAAATATGAAACAATAAGAAGGAAGACAAAACAGTTTTATAACAATATTCATATTTATGTATGTCAATGATATACAAGCATAATTAATAGGAGTTACTTCCCTTTGACTGGAATTAAAGTCTTTACTAAGGAAATATATTTATCTGAACTCATAAAAACTTCAATGAACTTGCTGCTCAAAATGTTCACCATGAGGGAGTTGAAAGAATTCTGTAAAGCTGAGAATATGTTGAGTAAACTTGTAGCTTCAGAAGGCTCTTTTATTAAGTATTTTCTTGCTGGCGAAGAACTGGAGAAAACTGGAATATCCAAGTTAAATTTCTTTAGCACAGTGGCAATGTATCTGGTTGACTTTTCTTTGGTCTCACTGTGAGAGAGTTGAAAAAATTCTGTAACTTGAAGTTGAAAGAGTGAATATTTGTAATGAGGTTTCTGTTGCTTGTAATGTTATGTAATGTTCCATACATATGTGTATGTATGTGTGTGTGATGTTTTCATAGCGTTCGCCTGCAAGGGGTTGAAACGTGATTTCTTAAACAGCTACATTTTAGTAAGCAAGAGAAATTAAAAAGAGGAAGAACGAACTTGTGTCTGATATTTAAAATAAACATAATCACATGATTGGCTCTGGAAAGTATTTCTGGTTTTTGTTGGAAAAATGGTTTTGAATAATGCTTAGGCATTGTACAGACGTAGGCAAGAACACGATTTAAATATTAACTGACCAATGAGAAGTGAGAATAATATCAAGACTCCTGTGATTCACTTTTTGCACAGATTTGCAGAAAAATTGACATTAACAGAAAAGTGGTAGCAGGATGCTATAAGTGTGATGAAAGAACAGTTTTTCTCTCAACAGTGCTATTATTTTGTACTACATACACTCCCTTGGTAGTATTTATTTACTAGATTATAACAATATGTGAACAAAGTTCAATGCGATATTTATTATTTAACTTTTATAAAGATTTATTATTTACCATTTTATAAAGTAATAAATGTGGAAAGAAATTTTTTATTCAAAAATGAAAAAAAAAAAATTACATATTATCAAAATATGTAAACCATGTACAATGCAATATTTATTATTTAGCAAATGAAAGAAATACCCGGAAAATGCAATTTTTTCAAAATTTATAATTAAAGTAGGTATCTACATGAGATCGCTAAAAAAAGCACATAGTCTGATGAAAAAGACGCCAAACTTGATGAAAAGAAAATTTTATCGCCAAAATGTTTATGTTACTATTAAGAGGAAAGAACAAAGTAATTTTTAATTATTTTTAAAAATTTTTCTGTCTTTATTAGAACATTCTAACTTTCGATTAAAAAACCTTGTTTCTCGTCATCACCGGAACTCTAGTAAATAACATGGCAAATTTTTTGTGCATTTTTTTCTTATGACACACATTAATTTTGAAAATCTTGCAAAAATAAAAATAATTGTCAGATTTTAATGAAACTTTCAGAAACTATTCAGGAATGATGGAAATTATTATAAATATGTTATTTTTTTTAAAAGTCATTACAAAAATATATTTTTTATATATATATTACCCCCCATAAATAAATTAATGAAAACTCTAAAAAGTTATGGTCGACGCATGCAAGTCATTATATTAGTTAAAAACACAAGGCTTTGAGGAAAGTAAATCATGTTTTGTTTTTTTTAAAAATCCGCCCTTGTTAATGTAAAATCAGCTCTGAATTGTAACATACAAAACCCAATAAAACAAATAAAAGCAACTAAATTTTTTAATTTTAAATGCTTTTAGTTGCTTTTATTTGTTTTATCAATATGCATAAAGTTACTCGTCATTATCTGTTTATTCAAATTTTCTTATTCTCAGACATTTT